AAAATCAGCCATAGTGAATAAATTATTAAACAATAAAAGCGGTAAAACCGGCCATGCATCATTAAATAATAAAGGTAGTAAAATCGACCATAATTAGTAGATAATAAAGGCGGTAGAACCAACCATCATTAAATAATAAAAGCGGTAGAACCAACTATATTTAGTAGATAATAAAGGCGGTAGAACCGACCATGGTTAGTAGATAATAGAGGCGGTAGAACTGACCATAATTAGTAGATAATAAAGGCGGTAGAACCAACCATCATTAAATAATAAAGGCGATAGAACCGACCATATTCAACAGATAATAAAGGCGGTAGAACCGACCATAGTGTGAGCACATATATCACTTAAGTAAACAAATTAATTTCATGAACACTAATCAATAATTAAAATTTTCTTACCTTTTGAAGTCAGAAATATAATTTTTTTCGATAAAGCAAACAAACCCAATAATCTATCAAAATTAATATTACAAAAAAGATATATAGTTGAAATAGAAAGAGGGAAAGAGGACGTTTTCTTCAAATCTCAGATGACTAAAGCTCGTGTTGATAACGTCTTATAAATTTAATATTAAAGTATGGATATATATACATAAATAAATATGAAATATAGAAGATAAGAGAGAGAGAGATGCTTATTTCATATCTTCTCTTCACAATTGCATAAAGATGGTGTCTATTTTTAGCTATAAAATATGTAGGCAACAAGCATCTTGATAAACAAGCTGCACACCAATGCTTCATATCACTTTACACGTACAAGTGGACCCCACATAATTATATATATATATATATATATATATGTGCATGCACATGCATTTGGCATGACAATTCTGGATGATAAGGGTGGACAGGTGGCAGGTAGCGCCTTTTCCCGGTCATTTTTGTTGCAAGTTGCAATTAACTATCTTCTCATAATATGGTATGAATGTAAAGGGCGGTAGATAAAAAAATAAGTGGTCCATTATTGTTTTTTTTTTTTTAGGTAAATAGTGGTCCATTATTGTTAAGACTACATAAATAATTTAAATTTAAATAAATTAATATGATGTTTGTGAGCATTAAATTGGTGCCTTCGATTTGAAATTTTAAAAAAAAATTAATTTAAAATTTGTATTAAAGTTTCTTCAATCCTAAATTTAAAATGTTGATTCGCCAAATATAGCTTTTTTCATTTCGGAAATTTTAGCACAAAGTGATTTTGATAACATGATATGAATCAGACTGAAAAAATATATATATACATCCCTGTTTACCACCAAATTGATACATGGCAGCTTAAAAATGCCTTATAGTTGTTTGGCACAATGATAAAACCCTCAATCTGATTAGTTCAATTATAATTGCAGTTATTTTGTACAAAATAGTTCCCAAAAGTTACCGAGCCTATTTGGTTTAGTTTTCTATTCTTTGAAAATTTAAAAAAAAAAAAAAAAACAAAACAAAACAAAAACAAAATTGTACAAAAAAAAAAATGTTTGGTTGACAATTTTTGAAAATTATTATTATTATTCCTATATAAATAAATAATAAAAAACATATCTTCGGTTTATAAAAAATACTTTTTTTTTTTTTTTTGAGAATTATTTTTTAAAAACCAGATCCAAATAGTTCTCTATCTCTAAACTCATGTTTGACTTGATTTTACTATGGGGTTCTTTCTTGTAATCGATGCAATTAGATTTCTCAACTGAGATTCGAATTATATTTGATTTATTTAGTTAACGAATTATCGGATTCAAACCGTTAATAAGTTACAGACTGAATGTTTTGATCCATATTTTAATCAAAATCAAATCCATTCACATGTCTAGGTTATAAGGTTCGGTGGGATGTAAAGTTATTAATACATAGGATAGTGTATCATATAACTATGCAACCAAATGAATATTATGATAAAAATTAATATATATAACATACATATATAATATATTATAATGTAATATCTATATCTTCTCGGGCTTTACCTAGTGGTCTACTTGGTAGAGCGCTGAGTTATTTGAGCGGGGGTGCCCATGTTCAAGTTTCCAGCCGAAGCAGCCCTACACCACACAAGGTTTGGTTCTTATGATTTTTATTACCATTTTCTAATGAATCAAACACATTGAAATAAGGATGTGCAAAAAAAAAATAAATAACTCCTTTATTAATTTTCTCTATCATTCTCAACTTTATAATAAGAATAATTTATTACAAAATTTTACATTCGGCCCCTTTCCACCTAAAGCATAAGTATGCCTATTTATTTGTTTTAATACTTCATCTACTAATAAACATATTATTGGGTATGAATTGTTGTATGAATTTTAATTTTTAAACAAAAATGTTAACCAATCAGTTACACAATTATTTGACGAAAAATCATTGCCTATTTGAATTAGAATAAAAATGGAATTGCAAAAGAAATTACATAAAGGAAATAAAGTCTAATAGTATAATATGTTTGTCAAAATAAGGTGATGGATGGTACAGTTCGATAGAATTCTTTACAGATGAACTTTTAAAGATATATATATATAATTATGTTCATGAAATTCAAGTTAGATATTCAATTTCAAATAATGTAATAAATTATTAGTCAATTTCCTTGTATAGTATTTTTTTTTTCATTATTGTGTTATTGGGTTGCTTTTTCAATTCATATTTTTATCTTAATATTATATTTAAATGTGTATTTATTTATATGTAAATATTAACGTAAAAATCATACTTTAATTATTTTTAATTGCATTGTACCATTTACTAATATATATATATATACACACGTGTGTGTGTAATTTTAATAAAATCAAATCATTATCTGATCGGATTACTTTTAATATTGTATTTATTAAGACAACAAATTGCGAATTCCGATCATTATCATATTATTAGATTTTTCTTTCCTAGTGGGACCAATAAATGAAAGGGCTTTTCTCATCAGTATCCATAAATCAGGCTGATGGACATTAAAGATGAGACTATATCAAATATTCAATATCCAACAACCCTAAGGGTCTAAACCAATATTAATATCAAAATGTGATTGATCATTAATATACCAACTATCTCCTTTATTTATTTATTTTTATTTTTATAATTTTTACCCTTACAAAGAAACATCATACGATATCTACGTGCCAACATCAAGAAACCACTAATATATCAAAGAAAACGTTAGACTTGAAACCTCCCACAATAAGACTAACACCCAATAAGATTAATAAAAATCTAAAACTTTTAAGGGTATCAGAAAAAGTAGTCAAGATATGAAAATACAGCCCAACAAACGATATTTAAATCTAGCGCCACCCAAAATAGTCAAATGAAAGACCTATCAAATCACCCAAAGATCCCATGGCATTTGGCTAAGGCAATCTATAATCATTACTTTGTGCTTCAGAAGGATCCAATAATAAATGCAACAAAATGCACCACCACACACGAAATCCCAAAGCACTCACAGCCAGGTCCAGAATACGTTTTCATGACGTCAGCTATGGCGTCATGGTTTTCCAACCGACACAATGGCCGACCACCGATGAATCCGACCATCACGACACAGCAGGCACCATAAACATCGACCACCTGTAAATGAAACGGGATAAACAAAGGCAATCGCAACCTCGAATCCATCCAGCAAGACTTTCTTCTGGATTAACTAATATACCTACTAAAAGTGGGACCAATAATGAAAGAAATTTCTTGTTAAATAATTCAATCTTAAATGATTAACTAATATTATAGTTTTTGACAGCAATATCATTAATTGTTCTTCATAAATAACCTCCATTATATATATTATCTACTTTCCTAAATAATTCAATCTTAAATGATTAACTAATATTATAGTTTTTGACAGCAATATCATTAATTGTTCTTCATAAAAAACCTCCATTATATATATTATCTACTTTCCTTGATAATTTATCTTAATGCAGCAGCTTTCTAGATCAGAATTACACCACATCAACATCATCATCATTCAGTTGTTGGAGCTTCACTCTGCTTGGATTTCACGACCCACTCAAAAGTTCATTGGAATCCTTTTACAAAAATGACCATATATATATATATATATATATATATATATGATGTGCAGTAATGGTCACGGTCGCAGTATCGGTCGCAATCATAATATAACTGATTCGGATAAAATCAGTATAAATTGACCAATACAGGTCGCATATCGAACGATCATAATATACCTGATTCGGATAAATTCAGTGTAAATTGACCGATACAGGTCGCATATCGAACCTGAAAAATGATTGTGTATCACTCTATCAAATATGGGACCAACAATTATTATAAATTGTTGGTTGCCAAACATGGCTCGAAGACAACTTACATATATATATTTAGTATGCAAGCAAAATTAACTGTTCACAAGAACAAAGTACAAATTGTGGTCTCAAGGTTGTGGCATTAGCCAAAGAACCTGAACTAGGATACCAGACACTATAGGTTTCCACAAACGTACCAAACGTATAGAGTTGGATTGCCACCTTATTCATGAGAAAGACTGGGTTGATACAAACTTCTCATGTCAATTCTGCTAATCAAATAGCCCATTTATTAAAGTTCTTGGGAGAGATCAATTCCAACATCTGTGACAAGTTGGGCATTCATAATATTTATACTCCAACTTGAGGGAGACCGTTGAGACTATCCTCGAGAACATATCCAACGCATATCCTAGTTCTCCATATCTATCTTGTAACCAATTTTCTCTCTTTATCATTCAGGCAACCAGCTCAAATATATTGGGTATCCCTTCCTAAAAATTAATGAAAATAATAGAACAAAGAGCAACAACTAAAAATCCCGTGAAAACATGGGCAAAAGTGTGTGTTGGCTTTATCATTTGAAAATAATAATAATAATAATAATTTTTTAATGGTAAAAAATGTAACACAATTGTTCCTCAAAATTGAAGCGTAAGACTACTTAGAACTTAGATTGCCCGAGTCAAAAAGATAGTTATCATTTCGCTAAAGAAATTGAAAAAGAACATAACAAATAAATGTAGCAATAAATAAAAGTTGCAATAATTTTTTTCAACTTTAAAGAACATTTCCAACCATCTTGGATTCTTATACCGAAGATGTTCTTACAAGTGCTAGACCTATGTCATGGCAAACAAAAAAATTTCACATTTGAATATATAATTTGGATTTAAAATTTTGATGCAACATCCAAAAAAAAAAAAAAATTGAAAAGAAAAGAAAAAAAATGAAGGAAAAAACCGGATGGGCGTAACATAGAATCCTCCCCGATGCCCGAAACCATTTCAAGCTCTTCAGAATTGCGAAACCCTACCTCTAGATCCATATTGTTGAAAAAAACCTTATTTGAGCATTAGATGTATGAATTTCTTTTCCCACCTGATTTATCTTGTGGATTCTGATACTCAGACTATATGAGCATTAAAAAGCTGGAAACCACTTTTTTCTCAGCTGTTGAAGCCAATTTAGTGGAGATCTAGAGCCTTGTTCTTGTTGAGATGCTGATTCTTCTTCAGGACCAGTAATTTGAGAATTAACCAATTTTATATTAAGGTCATTGCCATCATTATGCTCGGATTCCTTCAGACTAGACTCCGGTTTAACCTTTATCTTAACTGGTTTGCCAAGCTTCGATTTATCTTCCAATCGTGCTATTTGAAGAGCCTTGGAACAAACTGGAAAACCCTGATCATCCCAGGACTCCAAGATTATGCCAGAGCCAATGCAGGTTCTTTCCTGGTAGAAAGCTGCAAATTGCCCAGCCGCCAGGCCCTGATCATCTTCAGATATGTGGACAACTGCAACCTCATCACCATCTTCACCAGCTTCCATTGTCAAACTGCAATTGTAAAAACCAGGGCCATGTCGAACCTGAAAAAAAATAAAAAAAATTAGACAGGTGAACCTGGAGTGCTGCATCAAAGACAAACTCGAACCATTGGGAACTCAAACACCATAACTGGACTCATAGCATGTCTAGGCTGTTGCAAGGTCATCAGAAGATGAACCCTAATTCAGTGCTAGAGAACAGTACAATAAGATAATACCAGGATATCCTCTTAACATATTTTTATTCAAAAAGGCGAGGCAAAATAAATCATCTCATCAACCAACAATTTTTGTTAGATCACTTAACTGGTGGTACTGTGGTAGTGTGACGCAATTTCAACGTTAACAAAATCAGAAGGTTTTAACACTGGAATTAAATAAAATAAAATAAAATAAAAAAATAAAAAAAAAAGGAAAAAAAAAAGAGCAATCTCTCCAGCAATAGTTTTGCTTTGACTAAATCAGCAAGTCTTTTCCATGTTTTCCTACGTTATAGTAGAAGAAAAGGAAAAGGATGACATCCTTCAGGATATAGCTAGTTATTTGTTGTATAGATCATTTAGGTACACACCATAAGTTCAGGGACATCATAAAAAGTTTCAGGTACTCTCAATCTGAAAATTTTCCACCAAAATTTCATGTATTACATTTCTTACTTGTAGGAAATTCAAGCAGTCTCAATATAAAGATAAAAATAAAGCATGAGATCCTAGGATAGAGGTATTTATTTATTTTATAGATACTTTAGGCGCACACCCAAGTTCTGGGAACTCATAGAAGTTTCAAGCAAGGTTCGTAGTTACGGTATCGGTCGCGGTCGCGGTCGCGGAGCAATGGAATCGGGCTTGTATCAACGTTACGTAATAGAATTGGTTCTCACAGTCGAGAATTTTTTTGACCTTGCACATAAGGTCTAAAATGCATTGATACGCAACATATTTCAATAAAGATGGAGTTTTAGTAAATTTTTATTGATTTTGTTAAGATCATCTACCACAAATAATAGCCTATTCATGAAATTTGAGTCAATGTCATCATTAAAAAGGCTTAGTAATTACTAGGGCTGCAAATGAACCGAGCTGTTCATGAACAGCTCGGGCTCGGCTCGTTAAAAGCTCGGCTTCGGCTCATTCGTGAAGTAAACAAGCCGAGCTTGAACACATTTTTTAGGCTCGTTTAGTAAACGAGCCGAGCTTGAACAATGCTGAGCTCGGCTCGTTAGGTTCGTGAACAAGCTCGTTTACTAAAGGGCCTATTTTTATTTTATTTTTTCAAATTTTATATAACAATTGTTTAGGCCATTAGATATAAACCCAGTCCAAACATCATATAAGTTTGTAAGCCCAACTCTATTTAACTTTAGGCCCAACTCCACTTCAACTATAACCCTATCAATCTATCAGCCTTATCTTTACGTCACCGTTGGATTGCATTTGTGAACCCTAACCATATACAGCCTCACATATCGCGCAACATTATTTCTTCTTCTCTTCTCGGCCACGATCTCCAAATCTCTGAAATCTCCGGGATGAAACCCTATCAATATGCAGCCGCAACAAATCTTGCAGCATCACTTCTCTAATGTCTTTCAAGTTTCGACCCAACATCAATTCCTCTTTCGTTTACAGTTATGAAATCTCTCTCTTGGGTCCTGATGTCTCAATCCAGATTTAGTATTAGCGAGATCAGATGAAGACGGACGTCACTGAAAGAGATGCAGCATGTTCTTCCATCTTTGAAAGATATAGATCTAAAGTTTCTGGTTTTCTCTATCTTTATTTTTTATTTATTTTTTTTTTTTTGGGATTGAATGCGAGCCCGAGCCAAGCCCGAGCTCACTGAAAAATTGACAAGCCGAGTTCGAGCCCGGTTTGGCCAAGCTCGCATGAGCCCGAGCACCCTCTTGAAACTAATGAGCCAAGCCCAAGCAAGGTAAAGCTCGGCTCAGCTCATTTGCAGCCCTAGTAATTACACTTACCAAATTAATGAATAAAAATAAAACTCAATTATGGAATAAATGAAAATTGATACCATAGATAACAAATGAGAATTTAAAAAAATAAAAATTGAAATTTAATTAAAAATTTAAAAACAAAATAGAAATTTTAGTAAGGGTAAAGTGCCAAAAATAAAAAATAAATATTGTTATACGCCGAATGTGGAAATACCGAAATACCTAAAATGCAATTAAGACAATAAAATAAAATAAAAACACTGATTTCAATTTTTTAGAGTATATTAAGGGTATTTTGGGATTTTTATAAATAAAAAAAAAATTTTAAAAAAAGGTCAAAATTGGAGGTCAACATATATTAGGGGCAATTTGCACCTATTTTCAAATGTTAGGGATTTATATGCACATACTAAATAGCAGGGGTGTTTTTTTGCACATTTTTTATATTGCAGGTTGGTTTTTTGCACTTTACCCTTCTAATAAAATAAAAAAAGTATATGATTTTGTCTGCATGTAAAATTAATGTTCTAAGCATTGTAATCCTCAAGCTTTGTTGGTTGCTGGAGAAAGCATATGACTAGACCATGAGCTGCTCAGTCTATTGTTATGCGTATAGGACTCATAATATTATCGTTTTGAGGATTATATATGATGACAAGTCCATTTCAACTTGAGAGAATCTATTAAAGCTTTGTACAATGTGGTATGTGCTATCAAATGGCATGGATCAGTTTTTAAATACTCCTACATGAATGAGATCAGTTTTTAAATACTACATAAATGAGGTTTTAAAGAGCAGAATAGACTTTCTTATGTCCCACAGCAGGTATTGTTAGAGGAGTAAGCGACCAAAGAGTAGTATAAAAGGATCGGGAGGCACTGTAAAGATTTATTTGGGCAGGCCCAGCAAATACCTGGTGTGATGGGATGGGCCAATCAGGCCAGTTAAGTAGTAAAATTCACTTTTTAATAAATGGCCAAAACCAGCCGGTTTTTTGCCGTAACAGCCTTTTTGCAAAGAGAAGCGGTCAGTTCTCTATGGACTGGCACAACGGCACTCACCGGTATACAGGTGAGCATCGGTATCAGCGGCTTTAAAAAGCATTGTGAACCGGCCGGTCGGTTCGCCGAACCATGATCTCAAGTACTCATCTGAATATTTACCCAAGGAGTTAGAAATTACATTTTTTAAAACCATTATTGAAAGAAATCCGCAATATGGCATTGTCAAGGATGCAGGGGTCAATAATGGGAAAAGGACTTCTTTCACAAGATTTGAAAAGAGAAGAAAAGGATGAGAATTGGAACTGAATCTTCTACCTTGCACTGGAGTTCACTGATCTGGCTCGAAGGTGAACCACTAAGCCATTTCAGAGATCCAACGCGGAATAAGCGCCTTCTTTTGTCAAATGAGAAATAGTTTCTGGAAACAAAGACGACATTGTTCTTAACATCCTTCTCAACAACATACCTACATAAGATGCATTGCAAGTACTCAGAAAAACCTTCAGCAATATGGATGCCTAGGTGCACTTTTTAAAAAATAATAATAATAATAATAAATGAAATTTAAGGTTGGAAAAAATAATTGGCCAAAGTCACCATAACAGTGTTATAGATGCTTCCATGGCATCTATAAGGGAGGGTGTGTTAAGGGTTACAATTCTTCCTGTTGGCAAAAAGAAGGTTCAAGCCAACCACCGAAGGATAAAAGACATACACAATGATAAGACTAATTGAAGTTTAAAAATGATTACGTTATGACCAGAATCACTTTATTTTAATAGTGACTGAATTAGCAAGCCATTTTATCTGATTGTATTCCCATAGGACAATAATGTCCAATTTATAAGAAATGATTGCAGTAAAACCACCACTAAATTTATTATGAATTGAAATCCGCTGATATTATTTCAAACTCACACCAGGATAGTTGTTCAATTAGAAGTAACCAAGTTCACTTTTGTTTCGTTATGACCATAACCAGTGTCATCATAGATCTACGAAAAAAAGAAAAAAATAATAATACTAAAATAAAAAATACTAGCCTACTTTATGGAAGAAGCCAAATAATATAATTGTGAGAGAACAAGAGAAAGAGAGTATACCAGGGGCCTCCAGGAAGTCGTAGACCTTGCCGTTGACCAATTGTGTAGAACCAAAAGCCTCGGTGTGTACCAAGAAAATCTCCTGTCTCAGCTTCCAATATAACACCTTCCATCTCCCCAATGTGCCTTTCAACAAATTCACTAAACTTTATCTACAGAAAAAAACCAATTCTATGACATTAGTGTTAGAGGATTTATTTTAATATTAAGGGTAGTCTTGTCTTTTCCATCTTTTTAGTTAGGGCATATGTTTTGTGTATATATATAGTCATTGTAATACAGAATATAACACATGATTCAATAATATAGCATCAGTTTTCTTCAAGTTTTCAAGAAGCACTCCAACTTACAATTTGTCAAATAGAACACTATAAGAAACCAGAATGAACACGGCATTTAAGGTAATAGATTATAACATAATATTTCAACACAAAACAATTCTAGAATATAAAGTATATCCTTATTGGCAAGTTTGGGCACATAACATTTTTCTAAATTCTTCTCGAGTAGAACAATAAAATAAGTACAACATTTTAACGCTAAAGTAGTTATAGGACTGAATTAAATGGTACGTCAATTGAAATTCAAGGGATAACACTTTTTCTACTATTATATACATGTGTCTATGAATGTAAATCAGTTGTTATGGTATCTGGAAGGTATCCTCTACAGTAATATTTGTAATCACAACATACCTTCCCAAGGAAGCATATTCCTTGTGAATCCTTCCTATCCTTGTTCGGTAATCCAAACTTTTTGGCAAGTTTTCGGACTTCATGCTGCAGATAGTTTGACAGATTAAAACTGTAAATATGAGAATGAAAGATGTATTTTGGAGCTCTGCACAATGACATACATATTCATAAGAAAAAAACCATTGCTATGCAAGTCCAATTTTCCCTAGAACTCGAAGAGCAGAAAATGATTAAGAACAAGACTGCACATCTCCATAGAAGCCAACCTTGTATAATTCCTATAGTTGGCACATCTCCGTAGATCGGAAGATGCACCGGTTAGGAGAGGAAGGGCTGTTTGCCTAGAAGGTAAGTGCCGAAGAGCCAGACCAAACTTAAATGGGATGAAGTAATTAACAATGATTTTAAGAAACAAAATATTGTAGGAGACGTGGTGTATAATAGGAAAGAATGGGAAAAGAGAATGCTGTTGCCTACTCCATCCACATGGGGCAAAGGCAAGGATGATGATGATGAGTTGGCACATCATCTCTCATCTTCCATTATATTTTACTCCTACAATTCTCTAACTGCCCCTTCTCTTCCTCCACATGAGCCATGACCATGCACATTCAGTATGCACCATTTCTAGTTTCTTTAAAAGAAAAGGTTGTTGCAAGATGACATGTCTATGTTTCTGCAAATTACATAATATGGAAGTTCTAGCACCTATTAACAATGAGGCAAGGCATCAAAGAAAATAGTTGAAATATGAAGCTCCATGAATTAAAATATCTAATGGTTTTCATCATTATTATACAAGCAAGTCTGTAAAGCAAGCCTCTTTTATTATGTACAACAGCATGTAACTTTCTCCCACCATACCCTGTTGAAATAATTTTAACTGTTTAAGAACCATAAGTCATTCAGCAGATTCTCCCTAAGTTCCTTGAACTAGATATCTAGTTCAAGGAACTTAGGGAGAATCTGCTGAATGTCTTATGGTTCTTAAACAGTTAAAATTATTTCAACAGGGTATGGTGGTTCCCAAAAAGTGGCATCCTTTTTGGGACAGAGGGAGTACATGATCTAGTTGTGAGTCACGGTTCCCAAAAAGCGACATCCTTTTTGAGACAGAGGTAGTATAAACCAGCTACAAGATTACGAGAAATACACATCATATAGATAATAGATATTTGCACACATACATACATACAGACATACATACATATATATATATATATATATATATAAGATTATAAGGTAAAATGCTTGCATGGTAATAGAACTCGTCCCACCTAACCTTTGGTATACATCCAAGAGGGAAAATAAGACGTTTAAGCTGGGCCTGTGAGAGATGTGAAAGAAAGTAGGTTTGATCCTTGACCTGAAACACAAAAAGTACAAATATAAAAAAGCAAGCGATATGCAAATGACAAAGTCCGTTGTAAGTGCCTATAAACACCTCTAAGAGAAGTGCAATAACACAATATAAACACATTAGCTCTAATAGCTTTAGATTGCATGGACCAAACTTATGCTACTATGAACTTGAGAGGACAGAAGGTAGACTTTGCAGGAATCCAAATTGGCCACCCTACAGTCGAGCATTTCAAGAAAGAGGTATCATGGTAAATTTTGTTACAGTATAATTTTAGTCAATGACCCCAAACAAGAGAATTTTAAACTAGAATGGTAGATACATGCTTTCAAATCCATGGGCTTTAGGGTAAACAGAGTACATGATATGCAACTTCAGTAGCAGGCAAATTGATGGCAAAATGCTGAACAAAAGTGGCTGCACCTGTTATTTTTATCAACACATTCCTTAGGGGGGAGAGGGGGCTCTAGGAGGATACTACCCGTGGAATTAAAGGTGGAGATGTGGTAGAAGTGGTAAGGGTGTCAGTGAATGTAGTCCCTTTTAACTCTAGGTTGATGAAGGTAGGACCGGAGGGTGGAGGGTGGAGAGCGGAGGGTGGTTTGGAGGAGAAAACACTAGGGTCATAGGTGTCTCAACTATTAACAGTATGCCCTTAGTAGTAATTAGTCCCACAGTGAGAAGTACATGTAGAGTTAAACTTCTTCCAGGAAGTAGGGACGTATGGCAGACATTTGGAAGAAAATCCACTTCCAATATTATTGTTTGGGGGGGAAGGGGGGAGATTTTTAGGAAGTGCCAGAATGGGTGTAGAATAAGGTTAAGGGAGTTAGCAAGTCCCTTGGGATTTACCGTCATTCAATGAACGAAGATTTCATAAGACTCTTTCTCAGACTTTAAAGATGATATAAAATTCCTCAACAGCTATGAAAACTTCTCGGACTTTAAAGATGATATGTATATTTGCTTGATTTACTCTTCAAAGGGGGTGGCATGGCATACTGGTCAAATGGGAGGGCGACTCCATGTATGTCTCAATTGGACAAGTTTTTGGTGTTTCCAAGGGGAGAGGAGTATTTCTCAGTCTTGCATGCTTATTTTCCAAGACAAATCTTACACCATGTTTCATTTATGTTTGACTGTGGAGGTCCTTGAAAAGGAAAGAGTCCATTCAAGTTGAAAAATATGTGGCTCGAGAAGGAGAAATGTTTACCAAGATGGTGAGTGATTGATTGGTGGCAAGGACATAGCGTTAAGGGCTTGATAAGATTTATGTGCACTCAAAAATATAAATGTTGGAGGAAGATATCAAAAAATGGAATGGTGACAGTTTTTGGCAATGCAGAAGTTACAAAGGCTCCAGCTTTGTGCTAATCAAGACATCTGAGGAAAGAAACAACAGGGCCTTCATTGGGGGCGCGGAGGACTTGAGCTTTGGGGCAGATTAAGGCATTGGATGAAAAGAAGCAACAGGGGCTGAAGGGGTGAGTGCTGGAGCGGCTGAAGGGGTGAGCGTTGGAGGAGCAGTATAGTAAGGAAGGTGAGAGATGTCTACCCTCTTCACCTAATAAGGTGTGGCACAAGAGGGTAGGTGGATTTTTGAGGGGATAGCTTTCTCCCCTAAGATATAAATGTTGACTTTTGCCTACATCAATTTTTTGGATTCTAGAGTGATACTCTATGTCATTAGATTCTCGGGGAGGGTTTGTGAGAAATTTATAGTTTTGTTATTTATCTTGTTATATAGTTGTATACCTTGCATTTACATGGGTCTACAACTCGTTAGGAACCTTTTAGTGGTTTAAACTTATCAGAGAGATATTGGCATTGAGCCACATTTGACAAACGCACTCTCGTAAATCTCTGAAGCATGCATGAAAGCTCGTCTATAAAGCAGCAGCCAACTGGAGTAATACATTTTAACTTTTTAAAGCCTTTAGGTTTATTGAATTTATTTTTGACCATACATAAAGAAAATTCCAACACATCCTTTTATTCTCCGTCATTTAATTCTCTATGAAAAGATAGATCTATTGTTTCAAACTTCCTTTTTGGCTAATACTCCTATCAGAAGTACCCTAATAGTTCTACTGTAATATACCAAGTTTCTGTTTAGTCCTCAAAACTAAAAAGGACTCTTTTTGCATCATTTTTAAATCAATATTTTTTTTTTCCTTTCTTAAAACAAGTCCAATCATATTGATGAGTGGTAGGATATTTAAATTGTTGAGGAAGGGGTAGGAGAATAAGTAGATTCAACTTAAATAAAAAGCACCTTCATGGCAATCTCTTTCATAAAATTTGTCCATAGAGTCCTAGAATTCCTACAACATCAAACTTTAAGGAAGCTCATGATCAGGAAAGTTTCATTTATATGACTCAAAAAGTAAATGAGTTCCACTTATCAAAAAAAAAAAAAGTAAATGAGTTCCAAATTTATATAAACTCCTCTGTAACAAGTTAAATTCATTCATCATAACAAGAATGGCTAAGATTTATCAAAAATAGGTACCATGTCTTTTGATAGTTCCAGAACAGAAGGCCTGCCTATTTTATCTGTACACGAGTGAATAACATTTGCGTAGTGTCCCGAAGCAACATAGTCGAATTCCATCTCACTGATTGAATTCATGAATGCACCTGATAATACAATAGACAAAGGGTAAAAAAAAAAATGAAAGATAAATATTATTCTACAGTAGCCAAAACCACATACCAAACTTTATTCTTGTATTGCAAAGGACATCTGGGTTAGGAGTACGACCACATCGATACTCCTCAATAATGTATGACACCTGAAATATGGACCAGAAAGTTGTGATTTCATTTAAAGACCTCCTCCCCCTTTACCTATAAGGGATAAAGAAAGAAAACTGAAATTAAGCTAGGCAAGGTAACAGATAAGAAAACTATATAATACAACAGTGGGTTAACATATCTAATAGAATGCTAAAACTTGTTATTAACAGAAAGTTACATAACGAGTGATAGACTTCTGATTAATAAGAAACGTGAAGTCATATAACAGAACTATAGAAAGCAAACTTGTACATACCACATTTTTCCAATATTCATCTGTCAAATGCACAACTGCCAGTGGTACATTGACCTGAAACCAGATGTAATTTGAATTTAGCTGGATGAACAGTCTTCCATTGAACTAACCTAAATCATCAGATTGAAGTTTAATTTTGACCATGGCGCACATACATACATATATATATACATATATATATATATATATATACATATATATATATATATATATTCTCTTTTGCAGAGCTCGTAGCTTGACTTCAAAATTTCAATGCAAGTCAATTGTTGTCCTCCAGAAATTACCAATTATTGTATGGAAAAATAGAAAGTGACCTGATCACAGACAGCTCTTGCAAACTTCAAATCATCTTCCCATGGACATTCAGACCAAAAGTTTTCAAAGTCGTCCTACAAAAAAATCCAATTCAGACAGCTTCCCAATTGCTCAACTAGATAAATATATACGTCAATCTTATACAAGAGTGGCAAAAGATTGCTAAAATCAATATAAGACAAGCAAGCCAATAGGACTATACCAATTGAAAAAGATGCCAAGCTATTTCAGGAATCACTTAAAAAAATGGGGCACTTAGTTATAAACAATGCAAATGAAAACCCAACCAAATAAATCTTTAATGACGCCATCAAAAGTTGCAAGGACCAGATAAACCTAATGATAAATTTAAGAAAAAATTACACTCACACCCCTTCACGAAAGCTTAAATTACACACCGTATCCTTGTGTTTCCAAAAATTACACACAATACCCCTAACAGTTATACTTACATGACATGAAGAACCCAACCGCGACAGTCAAACAGGTGACCATTAAAAAACGATGACATCAGCATATAAACAATTTGAAATGCTGATTTTTCCCTTTAAACAAGTAAACAGACAAAAAAGATCTAAAGGGTTTCACAATAAGACAAAATTGCCCAACTTTATTCTCTTTATAAGCTAACTAGGAAGCACGGACATAGGACACAGGTACAACACGACACGGACACGGCAAATTCCAAAACAAAAAGGACCCAGACACGGCGGGATAGGGCAATGAAATAATAATATAATATATTAATATATATAGATAGATTCAATAAGTTAAGCAAAATCCACAATACCATAACTTGTCAAAGAAAAAAAAGACTACGGGGTCGTTTGGTAATGTTTTCTATTTCCTGTTTCTTGTTTCCAAAAGACTGAAAAACACAAACAAGTCAGATAAACATGTTTGGTAATATTATTTTTATTTTTTGAATTTGAGAACATGTTTCCTCAAAAGCCCAATTTTTAAAAACCAAAAAAAAAAAGTTGTTTCTACTTGTTTCTCACCTAAACATGGGGAATATGTTTCCAACTTATACGCACCTGAAAGTCTGTCATTTATATCTCTCTCCTCAAACCCGTTTTCCCTCATTCCATTCTCTCTCTTCTTCTTCTTCTTCTTCTTCTTCTTCTCCCCATAGCTAAAAAACACCAGGTTCCTCGTGACACGAGATGAAATTAGTTCCATCAAACACACTCAAATTTTCAAGAAAAACAATTAAAACACGATTAAGATCTTCCCAATTTCAACCAAAAATCCATATCAGATGAAACAAAATAAAGATCCAAGCTCAGGAAATCTTCAAGAAATTCGTTGGTGCTTAGGCATATTAATCTGGGTGCGCACTTTGGATCTGTCTTTTCTTTCCATTCTTTAATTCAATTGAGTGACTAACTTGGTAATAGAAGGGAGACTGAACCAACCTGCTCTAGGTCTTTGAAATCCAAATCATGCCTTTAACCGCAAGAGGAGAAAAATATATATATATATTAAAAAAATTAGAATTGCCTCACTCCAATTTTCTTGTAGGTTTACAGTATTAAAGCAATTATTTCATAATTGTATGTATACATATATGTGTATATAATATGTAATGCAGAGTTCTATAAAGTGATCATCAGAGTTCTATAAATGATCTTCAGAACAAACTGTATGATTGTGCAAATTGTTTGGAACAATAAATTAATTTAGGTTGGAAGGCATGGAGAAGAACGTGAATGGAGATCTGACCGAAGGTTTTTTAATTTTTTTTTAAACTGTGAAGTGTTGGCTCCTCAGTATTTTATGAAACAAATATACATTACTAAACATGTTTATTGTTTCTTGTTTACAAAATTCAACAAACAAATTAATGTTACAAAACATTATTTTTTTTTTAGACAGAAACACACAGAAACAGAAACGCTTAGAAATAGAAATAAAAAATAAGGAACAGATAATTGTAAACGTTACCAAACGACACGTACATTACACAAATACTTCAATTCATCATTCAAGCAATTAAGAACCAAACAAACTTCTAAAAAAAAAAAAATTAGACAAATAGGTTAAATAAATTTCCAACATGTTCCAACATTCAACATTCATAACATAAAAGCCACAAGTTCAATAACAGAAAACCTACAACATGTTCATCTTTCATCATTGATCACTTAAGCTCAATAACAAAACAAACAAAAGAAACGGGAAAAAAAAACGAAGAAGTGGAACTCCATAATCTTCTTCATAGAGTTGGATCTTCCAAGAGCTAATCATCATTTCCATCACCCACATCAGTACAAAAATATTGGTGCCTCAGAATTTTGATATAATCAACACCACCTCCAAATCTAGTTCAAGTGAAAGATTTGCAATCTCAAGTATTACACTACCCTCTAAGGAATCAAATGTGTCTCCTCCAACATCCCACGTCTTAGTCTCACCCTCCTTATATCCTCCAATCATGTCTTCCCATTGAGACTTTCTCGACCACCTTCCCTCTGTCGTTTCCCAACTTGTGAAAGGCATGAACCTTTTCTGGAGTACGGCCGCAAGGCCAAAACTCAAAGGAATTGACGGAGCCAAAAAGGCTTTTATTTTAATCCAATACAATCACAAAAAGGTTGTCTTTGTTCGGGTTGTTGGCCGAATCTAACTCCATTTTCTTATCAGCAGACCAACTCTGTTCAAGAGCAAATTGGCCTTCTTCATTATCGGCATTTCTATATGATGAAATAGTTCACCAATTCAGTGCTTGATTTGTCAAGTCTTCTCTCTTTCATCATTGATCACATAAGTTCAATAACAAAACAAACAAGAGAAGCCAAAAAAAGAAGAAGAAGAAGAAGTGGAACTCCATAATCTTCTTCATAGAGTTGGATCTTCCAAGAGCTCATCGTCATGTCCATCACCCTCATTGGTAAAAATTATTGGTGCCTCTTAATTTTGATATAATCGACACAGCCTACAAATCTGGTTCGCCAAGTGAAAGATTTGTAATCTCAAGTATTACACTACTCTTTAAGGAATCAAATGCGTCTCCTCCAACATCCCACATCTTAGTCCCACCCTCATTATACTGTGGAGTATTATTTGATAAAAGACGAAGATTGGAGTGTACAAAAACCAAATCTCCGGCTCTTTGTGGTGTTATCTTGTTCCTCTTCAAAGAGTGTATAGAAGAATATGTGCTCCAATTCCTCTCACAACATGAGGAGGAACAAGGATGTTTCAAAGCCAAAGATTGGACAAGGGGTATTGAAGCTCGATAAGAAACCCACCAAATTCCCAGCTCCATAAGTCCTCTATCCTTTAAGGAATCAACCGACGCAAATTCTCTACAATCTGCCAAAATATAAGCATACTTCTCTTTAGCCTATCATCTCTCCTCTGCATTAGTTAAGTATTTTTTTTTTTTTTTAAGTAAAAGTGTATTAGAAAGCATTCAAAAGGGGGATGCGTCCCAAGAGCCATTAGTTAAGTATTTTTGGAAGCATTTTCCCCTTAAAGTTGAAATCTCTTCATCTCTATGTGAAGGAACACGGCCCTCTAAAGCACAGACACCCCTTTGGGGGGGAGGGGGTATTTAGTGGGGTTTGGGGGGTCCCGTATCTATGTTTGACACGAGCTTGACACGGACATACGTGTCCAAGGCTCGAACACCTGTCCGACACCTCGTAGAAGTATCCTAGACTTTTTATTTTATTGGAGACGAATCGAACAAGTGAGACACGGAGGGGTACATTATGTAAAAATAATAATAATTAAAAAAATTAAATGGCATACAGACCTAATGTAATTTTAAAACTAAAATGTTTGGAAAACTAAAAAAGCACACACCCAAACAGATTCTTCTTTCACTCTAAGCGACGTGCCCTAGCAGGTTAGCCCCAAAATTCCCAAAGCCTCCGCTCTCTCTCTCTCTCCGACGTCAACTACCGGCGACTCCACCAAGTTGTTCGTCCTCATGTAGTGAGAGGAATTGAAGCACACCATTCTTTTATACCCTTCAAAGAGGAACAAGATAGAACCACAAAGAGGCGAAGATTTGGTTTTTGTACACTACAATCTTCGTCTATTATCAAGAAAAACTCACACTACAATCTTCGTCTATTATCAAGAAAAACTCTACAACATAATGAGGGTGAGACATGGGATGTTGGGGGAGATGCATTTGATTCCTTAAAGGGTGGTAAAATGCTTGAGATTGCAAATCTTTCACTTGATGACCGGATTCGGAGGCCATACTATTTACCTATGAGAGTGATGGAAATGATTCATGAAGAATATTATGGCGTTCCACTTCTTTCTTTTTTTGGCTTTCCCTTGTGCATTTTGTTATTAAACTTATATGGTCAATAATAAAAGATGAACATGTTGGAATTTTTAGTTATTGAACTTATGGCTTTTATGTTATGAAAGATGAATGTTGAATATGTTGGAAATTTATTTTAACCTATTTGTCTATTTTTGTTTATAAGTTTGTTTGGTTATTAATTGCTTGAATGATGAATTGAAGGAAAGGAGACCGCTATTGGATCATTGAAGTTTTCCATTATTAGCACCCTTTTTTTGTTGGGTCCTAAGGAGAAATTATAAATCCTTGGAGAAAATTGTTGATTTTTTGAACTCCTTGAGAGTTTAGAGCCCCTTTTTGGCCTTGTGTGGCTTTTGAGGGATGTGTTGCCTTTTGAACGCCTTTTTTAATAACATCGTCGCTGGACATGGGCTTGTGCACAATCCCCACATTTCGAGCTGGGGATTAGCTTTGATACCATAGGTCGAGTGGGGGATGGTGTGTAGATATTGTCCGCTTCGCACACTCTTCGTGCTCACGATTTTCAAATCGCGCTACACAGTCACGAAACGTCTACAAATATAAGTGTCATCAAACCTCTCCCCCAGGCGATTTGGGACATCACAATAAAATTTTTAATAACCATTGAATCCCTGGCAATAGTTGTAATCCAATGGCATTCTTGAAAAACAACTTCATTGGCTTCGGTATTTTGAGCTGCATAAATGTTTTTCAAAGCAAGGTTGAGAGTATACACCATAAGTCCAAAAAAAATAATTGGAAATTGGGCCTCAACAAGCAATCCCGCACTCCTACAAACAGAAGCATTGCCAATAATAACATGGATCACATTTTTGGATCCAACCTCTTGAATGGTTTCCTTCATCAACTTGGAGATAAAAGAATTTATCCTTGTATTCACCTTTACAATTTACCGCTTTCTAAGAACATAGGCCCATTTATACTCATGGCCATAAAGTTGATGATTGGCCTCCTTCATGGATCTGTCCATCCATCAAAACAATAGTTACACTACTCTCCTTCCACAACTCTTAAATTGGCATTACCAAATTCTCTATGCTCACTTTTTCTTTTTGAATAAGAGTAGTCCTCAACAAGTTGCAACGGGGCGGAACATAGCCACTAATATTATTATTAGCGGCAAAAATTTAGAAGCAAAAATAGTGCAAGTTCCTTGCAAGGTGAAAAGGAAAACCGCCTGAATACAACCTTCTTGCAATTTCACTCTGCAACTCTTCTCAAGCTCTGAGATTAAATGTTTTCTCAATTGCCGAACTACCCTTCCTCTTTCTTGGCTCAAAAGCATCATGCACAATTGGCCCAAATCCAGTTCTTATACTTGCACTTGATGAAGAGCCAACTTTGCCTGAATTTGTGGAAGGTGCCAAAGGGACTTGTTTTGGCATCTTTCTCTTCATTCTCATTTCGGCTTCATCGACTATTCTTTGCATTTCAACTAAATGATCATAAGGTACTTTTTTACATACTTGAATGACGTGACCTGAGAGTTTTAGCAAATGCGCTTTCAACCTATAGAGGCTATAGTAGATCCCTTGAAAGTCATTTGACAATAATTGCATTGAAATTGTACATTTCCTCCCCCTCCTCCAACCCTATCTAACTTTTTACTGTATTTCCAAAGAGGTGTGCGGTCATCGTGTTCAACCCCGTTACCCCACTACTAAAACCTTGCACGTTACTCATTTTCCTAGTAACAAACAAATAAATGTTACAAAATACCAAACAAAACAACAACAAATAACAATTATATATAATTTAGGCACAAAAAATAAAAAGGCTTGATTGATGCTTGGTAAGGGTGTTTTGTGAGCTCCCAATCCCACAATTTTTGAAGGGTGGCGCCCTTTTGTCTTTGAATGTGCTTATGGAGGGAGCGGAATATGAGATTCTTTGACGGAGAGGAATCTTCTATTGGTGCTCTAGAATTCTCATTATCAGCTCTCTTGTTTGTTGGACCAATGGGATAAATTGTAAATCATTAGGGGAGATAGTTGGTGTTTTGGCTTCCTTGGGTTCTTAGAGCCTTTTGTTGGTCCTTGTGTACCTTTTCTTGGATGTGTTCCTCGTCTGAACACCTTTTTTATATAATCTACTTATCCAAACAATAAATAAAGCATAGAACAGATTTTTGCCAAACAAATTTTCAGATCTTTGAAGACAAAAAAATATTCTAAGAAAATTGAACCACATAGATCTTGAAGTCTCAATTTAAGAATCATTTTGTCTTATGTTAAGAGATTGAATGAGTTTTTAAAATGAAAAATTGGCAGAGAGAGAGAGAGAGAGAGAGAGAGAGAGTTGCGCATATTGAAACTATCAACTGGTACAAAGTCTTATTGCCTATACCCTACAGAAATTCACTGATCTTCTATTAGGACTAAAACATGTATTTCACCATTGAAGCTAACCAACAATACCAAAATAGGTTACAGTACTAGTAAATGCTCGGGTTGTTAACATAATTTAAATAAAGAATTAAAATTGTTCCCAATATCTACTGTTTCTAAATTAAATTTATTGAATAGTTGCAATTCTTACAAACTCAATACCCATACAAATGCAATTACTACAAAATTCAATCTTGAAAAAATATATGTAAATATATCTATATATACACATATATACATACTTGGAACCAGATTTTGAGATAGAATGCGGTGCAGCAATGGCCGGCGGCGTGGAGGAGGCGAAGAGCGACGCTGCTATCGACACCACCACTGAGAAGAACAGCGACTCTGAGGCGCTTATTGGGCATCGAACAAGATAGGTAATAGGAATCGAGGTCGACATTGGAGGTCGTAGTGTGTGACGTTTGGGGCACTGTGGAGGAGAGAGAAGAGAGGGTTCTGGTGGTGACGAGTCTAGGGTTTGGGGATAGAAGACGGAGGGTTTTGTGAGGCGAGAGAGAAGGGAAGTGTCTGAAGATGTTAGGGTTTTGGAGAGAGAGTGAGGTGGTGAGGTGAGAGAGAGTAGCCGCTGTTGTTCTTAACATTGTTCATGTGAAATTGTGAGGAAAGTGTGGACTCGCCAAGAAAATGTAATAACGTCTTTCTGCATATGAATCCTTACAATTTATGATTTTCCCATTTAATGCAGTTGACTTATGTAAGAATTTCAAATACACCCCTATTAACATATTCTACACCATTTCCATAATGTTTATATTGTTTTTTCTCTTTCTTTTTCTTCTCGAAAGTTTAAGCAAATTTACATTTTTCAAATTTTCAAAATATACTGTCTCTTATAGGACTAAAATTCTAAACCTCTTTATTTTTTTAAAGGGAAGATTAAACCATTTAAACTAGAGCAGTGATAGGAAAAACTGAACAATTTAAAGTCTGAATGAGGAGCCCAACCTGATGTGGAAACCACGTCTTCTCCAAAATTCTTAAACACGCTGGAAGTTAAAAGATAGGATTGCAATTGGGTGAGTTTAGACGAGTTTTGGGCTAGTAATGAATCGATGAGTCAATAATCTATTATCAACTCATTTCTAATGGGTTATAAAAAATTGGGTGTTGAATGAGTTAGTTAACACACGACCAATCCAATTACCCAAATATTTTTAAATGCAAATTATTTTAATGGTTGAATATCAAAATATATATATATATATATAAATATATATATATATATATATAATTTTTTTATTAAATTTATTAATTTTTTGGTCTCACTCAGTTAAAAAATATTTTCTTTTTATTATTATTTTTTTTCTTGGAAAAAATTCCATATACAACTTACTTTGAGAGAGAGAAAAAGGAGGGGAGAGAAACAGAGAGAAGAGATAATTGGAGGAGATAGAAAGAAAAAAATAAAAAAAATGGAGAAGAGATAGAAAGTGATGAGAAATAAAAACAAAAATAGAAAGATAGAAACAGAAAATAATAATATTAATAATATTAGAATGCCTACACTTGAGTAACATTATAACTATTATGATTGCTGAATAATAAAAAAATAAAAAAAATTTATTTTTACATTAATTTTTTTGATTTCAAGTGTTACAAATTTTATTTATTTATTTATTTATTTTTAGATTTTGTTTGAGCGGGTTAAGATGGATACCCATGGGTATCCACTTTTAACCCACCATTGGCCCTTGAATTTAATGAGTACCCTCTTTTTATCCATTATTGACCCACTTACTTAAATTTGAGTATCCATATGATTTAATTTTAATGGGCGGGCTTAGGCGGTTTAATGGGTATGTGCTTAAATTGCCACCCCCACTAAAAGATGTGGGAAAGTGAAACGCTTTTTCTCTCTCTTCATTCTTTCTCTAGTTCATAAATTCTTCTTCTTTCTTAGATTATGGGGTTGTCTCTTTCTCTCTTCAATTTTACAAAATTGAATCGAATTAAAAAAATCATGGTATTGTAGCAGGGGTATTTCCTAGATAATTTTTAATTTTAGTCATACGAGCATTTATTTTCATTGTAGTCAATTGGGAAACAATATTAATGTTATGTATCCCTTGGTTTTTTGAAATCTATGGGAGAAATACATAATGTAATATGTTACTAGAGAGAGAAGAACGAGGAATAATCCTTGAACATCTATGATATGTTACCAACATATATGTATATTTATGTGTCCACACACACACACACACACACACACACAGATATATTTCTATCTCTGTGTATACCCACCTTCTTCAGCATATCTTCACATTGTCCATGACTCCACGACCTCCATCAGCTTTCATCTTCTTCTTCTTTTTTTTCCTTAATCTTTTTCCTCTATCACAAAGGGTTTAGAGAATTTGATGTGGCTTAGTGTTAGCCCCTTAACTGTGTCCAAGGCAAGACATAGGCATAAAGGGTCATGCCATGTCTCGGTATCACTCTAGCCCTTGCTAAAAACAAGTTGTTTTTCCAAAAGGAGGTTAATGACACATTTGACAATCATAAGGGTGCTCAGATGGGCTGCCAGCATGCACTGAGGGTGGTCAGTGGCATTTTCGTAAATAAAAAAAAATTGGAGTTTTGACTTGAAAATTTTATGGGAGATACTTTGAAGCCTTGGAAGACTGTTGATGAAGACGAAATTCATTTTGGAAGTCCAGAGAATTTAATTGTCCCATTATGACTCTTGAGACATAAGTAATGTTTGTTCTTGTCAGAATTATAACTTTTATTTACATATATAGGGGGTGTAGGAGTTGAAGACCCCCTGTTAAGGAAATTAATATTTTAAAAAAATAAGAGAGGGTTTTTCATCTTTGGATCTTGATTTATATCTAGAAGTGACGTTCTTCACACAAAGTGAGAGAAAACTTAAATAGAGCTTTGAGTAAACCTCACAATTCTTCTCAAAAGTGAATATTCTCACTTATAGAAGTTTGTTCTCCACTCCTTAGGCATCATTCTTCCTTGTAGGTGGATTTGCCTTTAGGAATCACCAATATAGCTCCATGAATGACCTTGAATGCATAGCTTATGAGAGCTCCTTGAAGATGAGTACACTCAAACCCTAATTATAGAAAGACAAAGTATTTGGTTTCACACTCTAGTCCAAAGGCCTACTAATAACACATGTCATACATGTATTTATAGACACATGGAATGGAAATAACAATTATCAATCTCTACAAATAAAATTGATAACTCACGGGCCTCCAATATCAAGTTGGGTTATTCGTGAGAATCCATTGCGCTTACTGATAAGCGCTGAAAAGTGCGCATTTAAACCCCTTAAGCTTGAAAATTCTAGGACCTTATTCTATCTTATTTTTCCGTTTTAGTTTAATTTCATGTTATTTCCCTTTTTAAGCACTTATCCCCAAAAATAAGTCAATTCAGCTGAATTAGAGCAAAAAAATGCAATCGCAAGCTTAGTGGAAGAAATGAGCAAAATGGAAGCAAAATGGTGAAAAATAGCATTTTTCGATCGATCGATCAATCACACAGCGATCGTTCCAACCATGCCAAGATGAATCGAGCCTTTTGTCCTTATCCTTAGAAATTTTCCCTTTTCGATTGATCCAACATTCATTCGATCGATCGAACATTTTTATCTTATCCCCACCTACCACTTTTGTCCTTTTCCTAAAATATCCCAAAAATATCTTAACTTTGTCTTTATTCCAAAAAGGCGCCGCCTTAGTTCTATTAATCGAACAAACCTTGTGATCGATCGAACCTCCTTAAGTGCGAGAAAAACAGAGTTCTAGCCAATTAAAAGATGTGCTCGTGGCGCAATCATTTGGAGGTCTTAGTGCACGAGGTCTGACCATTGGTGTGACATTTGAGCTACCTATATAAGGATTTTAGCCATTTGGAACCAAATATACAAGAGAGTAGAGATACAATATAGAGAGGAGTCTATAGATTAGAGAGAAAGGAAGAGATATACACCATCTTGAGAGAGCTCTTCCACTCATCTAGGGTTTCCACCAAGGAGAAGAAGACCATTTCTACCATGGAGATAGCCCTTGAGGGTTAGATGACATCATCAATGAGTGGCTAAACCATTCTCTTGGGGTTAAAGATAGCCCTAAGCATGCCTCCTAAACCTTGATGCTTTGTAATTAAAGGGGATTTGTATTGTAATGTTTGTTTTGACATCTTATATATATATAAGTCTTGTTCCTATAATGATTTGTGTAGTTTAATTCTTCTAATTGATCATTTAATTCTATCCATATGTCTATATATGCTAGGATAAATGTTCGTGTATTTATTTCTAGATTTTGTGATATTGATGCATGTCTATGTGTGTTGATGCTATGAATCTAGTGATGGTCAAGGCATGGTGCTTAAATAGATTACGCTTGTGGTTTATTTGATGGTTCATACTTCTTGATGGATTGTGCCTCCTTCTTAGTTTAATTAGTTTAATTTTCATGCCACTAGCTTAGTTGTAGTGTAATTGCCTTACTTTCTTAGATGGGAGAACAATCCATGCTTGTTGTTTGATGTTCCATACTTATGAATGCAAGTAGTATATTTTTCTAATTTGATAATGTGCATTAATTATGAACTTTAAGGAAGGAATAATGGTTTGATTTGATATGTTGTGCTATTCATTAGTTAGGCTAGACAATGTATACTTATTTGGCCATCCATGCTTGTTAATTCAATTAATGGCATACAATTTTAATTACAACATATAATCCCCCTAATCCATCAAAGAATGTCTAGGAAGGTAATGTTTAGTGGTGAACTCTAAGTCTCAAGACCTTTCTCTTATATTCTCTACACTTCATTTATTCTAGTTGCTTCATATTGCTTCTATTTAGTTTAAATTATAGTTTAATTAACCAATAAAACCATTTTTAATCATTTGACTTACTAATCCGACCTTGATTTCTAAGCAAAAATACACTCCATATCCCTTGGGACAATCCCTACTCACTCTTGCTATATTTTAGTTGGTAGTGGTAGTGACATTCTATAAATTTAAACTTGGCCACACTTCACTTTTATTGCAACTTTGGTGCATTGACTGCGACATCCGGCCAAGTTTTGGCGCCGTTGCTGGGGATTTTGGCAATGTCGTATTTTGAAAATTAATTAGGAATTAGTACTCTTTTGATCTTGTCTTTATTTTTATTTATTTTTTGTTACTTATTGTATTTGTTCTTGATTGGCTAGGTGAATTGAGCCAAGTGGGTGAAGCAAAGGGAAATTCAAAAGCAAAGAAGCCAAGCAAAGCTAAGCAAAAATTGAAAAAGCTAAAAATTTAAAAAAATTGCAAAGCAAAGCAAGGCAAAAATTGCAAAATCAATTGAAGTTGCTTAAGGACCCTTTGTGAGTTTTTCTAACTCTATCTCTAGTTAAATCATCGGCCTGCATGGAGCAAGTATTTCGTTTCTTAGATAAATCGTGAGCCCGTATGGAGGCAATTTACTTTTCTTGCATATTGTTGAAAACATGGGAGTATGGGATTAATGTATGTGGAGGTTTGTTGATTGATGTGTTGCGAAGGAGACGTGCTTAATTTTATTGTATTTGTTGGTGTGTTGCTTGAAGTGTTTTGCGGTCCTTTCCCTACCCTTCATCTTAGGCATTCTAATGG